ATACCCATCGAACTTTGAAAATAAAATAAAAAACCAGAGTGTAAAAAAAAAAATACGAAAAAAAAAAAATCCTGACGGTAAAAAAAAAGATTCCATCTTCACCCATGGAGGGCATGGCACAGACTGAGCTTCGCAGAGCGGGAAAAGGCTTATAAAGAAAGCAACCAATCAGAGGGTTATGAGTCAAATTACACAGCATGTTCCAAAGAATTTTCCCACACTGTGTAAAATGACACAGCGCACTCTAATTGGTTGGATTTCAAGCCAAACAACCAGAGTGCTGTGACAGGTTAACATAGAGACTTACCTGTCAGTCTCTTCATTTATCTGTCAGAGCACTCTGATTGGTTGGTTAAAACCAACCAATCAGAGCGCTCTGATCCTAGTTGCAGGACATGGGAAGGCTTTATAAGGTGCTGTTTAGGCGAGTAGGGGCATGCAAAAGGATTTAACCTCCCTTTTATCAATATGGGGATCATAGTGACCACCATACTGATTTATATTTTGTTTTATGACAGCAAGCAGCCACTCTGCCCCAATCTGCTTCCTTGATAATTTTAGCCAACCCAAGCTTTCCGATGGGAAAGCATTGTGATTGGCTCAAATCATAACTTCTGATGTTGTCAGTCAAGGGAGCAGATCAGGGGGAGAGCCAGCAGCAGTAATTTGGAATAAAAGTAAGATTTTACTATATTTAAGTGCACCAGGGGGGTTAGATGGTGTTTTTAACACTATAGAATCAAGAATACAAGTTTGTGTTCCTGACCATATAGTGTTTCTTTAAACATGTAAGCTTAAGCTATAACAATAACTCCAGATAATATTTATAAGCATATTATCAGACCCATTTCTGCTTTATGGATTTTAACAACTAAACGGTCTTGATATACCACTGACAACTTAGTATTTCAACAAATAAAATTATATCTCCAAAATGTTCAATCTTATCAATTATACGATACATCATACCAGTTTATTGGCTTGGCTATTGATAACCAGCAACTTGTTATAATCATAACGCACAACAAGTACACAACAGCATGAAACATATAGACTGGCATGGCGGCACTATGATGTGAGCTGATTTTAATGCATTTTGATTATTGTATTTAATATTATTTACTATCATGCAGGAATATTGATTTTGTGATTGTATGATTAATGACAACAAAAGATAGGTAATTTTTTTGCTGAAAACATATTCTAGCTT